GAAGTGTTCAAGGGCAGGTTGGATGAGGCTTGTGCAGCCTGGTCTAGTGTGGGGTGTCCCTGCTCATAGCAAGGATCTTGGAACCTGATGATCTTTAAGGTCCCTTCCAACCTTCAGCATTCTATGATTCTGTAAGTGGGTGGAGATACTTAAGCCAGTCCTTATAGTTGACCATTCCAGCTGGTCCCTGGAGCAGCAGCCCCACCTCCTAGGAGTGCTGGCCATCACCCAGAGCCCATGCTGGCTTTCTGGTCGATGCATAAAACCCACTGACCTTCCTGAGGACTCCTTCTTGTCCTAGATTTCCACCAGCCCCAGCACAGGGGCTTTAGGTAGGAGCTTAGCAACACGCAGCTGACGGGAGCACACAGCTTCCCAGGTTGCACTTCAGCAGCCAGACACAGGGCCTTCCCCATTCCTGTGGTTCCTCAGCCAGACTCACCTTTGCCATGGCCAGAGTCTCCACCATCCCTCCAGCAATGGCACAAAAAAAGTGCCCCATGGCTCCCTGGTTCATGGCTGTGCCAGCTTTAGGACTTGAGCCCTGCAGCACTCCATGCCATGTAGCTGGGAGGATGCACCTTCATTTTCAGTTGAGTAAGAATAGGGACATGCAAACATGCAGAAGGTTTGGTTAGGGTTGTTTTTTTTTTAATCAAATAAATCTCTGTAACCACTCCTGTCTCTGTGGCTCTTGATCAGCAGGAGGCTGATGGAGCCTGCCTGTCCTGCAGGGCAGTAGAGCCACTTATGGGGTCTGCTCAGACACAGCCACAGGTCAGGCTGTGCCTGGAGGTGCCTCAGTCCCACACAGCCTGCCCAGTCCTGAAACACCATCACAGCTTCGTATACTCTACCAGCCCAGAGAACCTCCCAAGACAGACCAAGGTGAGCTTGAAACCTCACTCCAGACTCAGGCCCACCTGGAGGTCCAGGAGTTTCAACCAGCCACAGTGGCAAAGTTGAGGTTTCACAAGTGCTACAGGCCCAGTCACCCCAGAGGTGTGAGCAGCACAGGGGTGGCCCTGCCCTGTGGGCACCGCTGCACTCATGGCCACACAATGAAAACATGCAGGGAGCCTCTGCTGCCATGGGCCAGGTGCCCAAGCAGGGCAGGAGAGCAGCCTCAGGCTTGGCAATTAATCGGTGCAGCTTCTGTCGGGCAGACCCTCCAGCCCTGCCCCTTCCCCCACATGCCCCGGGGCAGGAGCCTCGGCCAGAGCTCAGGTTTCTCATTCTCGCTCCTTGCCCTCCACTGCCCACCAAGCTCCCAGGAATGCTGGGCTCGGCTCAGCCCACCTGCTCCCTGCAGCCACTTTGCTTTTAGCTGTCCTGGTGGCTACACAGGACAAACGTGGCACCAGTTCAGGTGATGCTCCCAGCCCGCAAAAAGTTTCCTCCCCAGCTCCCTGTCTCACTGGAACAGGGACTGCCTCCTGTGGCAAGGCCTGGGGATGGTTTCCAGTCCTTATGAAGGAGAAGGGCACTTCTGGTCAAAGCTGAAATGCTGCTGCTCTGCTGTAAGAAACCAGCTATCTGCCAGAACTCAGACCAGGATTCACCTTCTGAGAAATTCGGCTGCCACTGAATCGCAACTGGACAGCCACCAGGAGCCGCTGGTTTGCCCTAGTCATGACTTGTCATGACTACTCATGACTAGTTTGCCATTAGGAAAAAATTACGTAAATGTGTCTTCTTAATCTTCCCACGTGCCCCTCTGGATGTGTGAGATTTAAGGCAGTACCGTTCCCTTGCTGGCTGGTTACGGATCTCTGGATAGAGTCTGGGACTGGCAGGGTGACGTGTCCCAAAAGCAAGGTGGACACCTCACAGAGGGTCTCTGGGCATGCATGCTCCCCGTCTGCAGCAGAGAGTAGACACCCAAGAGGCTTCATGGCCCAGCTCAGCCCCATTCAGGCAGGCAAGAAAGGCCTTTCTGCTGCGGGGTCAGGGACAGTAATTGGCTAGGCTCAAGAAACAGTACAGGGCAACAGCTCTGCCCCTGACTCAGACCTGTCCCTGCCTGCAGCCACTTTGCACCCAGTGCTGCTGGATTGTGGTGCTATGGTCTCAGAGGGACCAGAGCACTTTGCTCCAGTGATTACTGCAGGGTGACTGCACCTACACCCCAGCTCTTCCTGTCCCACCACCAGCCTTTGCCCACAATGTCTTTTCAGCTCTTGATGTTTATTGTGCGCCTAACATGTGATTTTCAGAGGCCACCTGGGAGGCCTCCACCAAACTCCCACTGCAGCACTGACTCATTCAAGCTCCCTGGCGGTGCCACAGAGCCCACCAGTCTTGCAAGCAGCAGAGGCAGCTGGGCAGGCAGGAGAGGGTGAAGCAGGACAGGGCATAGTGCACTCCGCTCTGCTGGCTACTCCACAACATCCCCGTACTTGTTCCTCCTCACTAGCAGTGCCATAATCTCTCCGTCCTCTGGGCTGGGCAGATTTTCTGCAACAGAAAAGAACAAGCTTCCTGGACCCCCAGCTATCCTGGTGTGTTTGCCAGGGGAGGACAGAGAACCACAGACATCCAGTGAAGTGTTTAAAGCCTCTTCAGCTTGGCCCAGCTTTGGGAGCTCACGGTACCAGTTGGAGAAAGCAGCAAACAGCCATGGGAACCACCCAGCAGCAGCTGTCCTGGTGCTCCTCCAGCTCTGCCCAGAAACCAACCGAGGTGTGGAGGGGTTTACAGTCTCCCTCCATCCCTTACCTTCCTCTTCCTTTTCCAGCAAACAAGCCCTCCATGCTGGCTCTCAGAAATCCACATAGCCAGCAGGGCCACAAGCAGAATCAAGTGCTCCCACTCCATGCTGCCAGCCCTGCTCAGGTACCTGCAGCACAGGTGATGGGCCTGAGCACAGAGGCCCTCAGGAGCCACAGGACCTGGCAGGGAACTCCAGCCACCCCAGCAATGCTGCCACCCCTCACACTTGCTCTATCCCTCAGCCACGGGATGCCAGCGTGGGACTGGTCTGGGGATTTTGGCAATGGCACAGTCACCAGCTTATGAGGCAAAGACAGCAAATTGTTGCAGCAGGGAAGAACCAGGCAGGTCAAACCCAGAGAAAGCAGCAGGGAGAGATGTGAACGTACCTCCAGGCTGAGACACCCTACCATCCCCGGCAAGCTCCTGGGGGGACTTGCCTGTCTCCAGGTAAATCCAGAAGTCAGAACATTTCTGTGTCTCAGCTCTGGTTACCACATAGCTGGCAATGGACCCTGCAGCTGGAGAGACCAAGATGCTCTTGTGAACACCAGCAGCAAGGGCAGTCAGTGGTGGGGAAAGCACCTGACAGCTTCTGAGGTGCTGCAGCTGCCTGAAAACCACCCCTGAGCCCCCAGGGCTGTGAGGAGTGCGGATGTGACAGGAGCTGGGGGGGAGGAATCCCGCAGGAGAAGGACCAACAGCCCTTCCGCAGCACCGGGTCCCGCAGGGCCGGGCAGGACACTCACCCCCGGCCAGCAGCAGGCTCCACTGCGGGCTGTAAGGCAGCTTCTTGCTCAACAGCTTCTGCACGGCGAAGAGAGCTCCAGTGCCTGCCGAAAGGCGGGGACACCGTGACCGGCCGCAGCCCCGGCCGCAGCGCCCGGGGAGCCGGGAGGAATCGGGGGAGCGGGGCCCGGCCGTACCTGCCAGGGAGGGGC